CCTCGGTCAAGCCAAACTTGACCCATGGAAATTGTCCTGGCTGTCCATTTCCGGCCTACGATGCGGATTTCGCCTTCCCATTGTTGAGGGACTTGTTGTTGCTTCGCGGCTGGACAACAACCACCTGATCTCCATCACTTGATGCTGGAGTGGCTGTTGGGTTATCTCCACTGTCCTGCTGGACTGCAGCGAAGTGCTGCTGTCGCGGACCAGTTCGTACCTTCTCCACATAGGTCGGCTGCCATGGTGACTTCTCGTGTGCAGCTGAACTGTTGGTCTTGATGATCTCCCTCGCCTTGTCAATGATCTCGGCGAAGGTTGAGTACTGCTCGCGATCACCAAGAGCCTGGCTCAATGCAACGCAGGATCTGTTGTAGAACTCACGTCTGAGATGAGTGAAAGGCAGGTCCAGATTGGGAACTGCCGCAATCGTCTGCCACTCCGTGAGCCAGTCCCGTGTTGCGATGTTGCCCTGTGACATGGTGAACAAACGGTTGATGGCGAGTGTCGGCGCGTCGTCGACGATGAACCGCTTCTTCCACAGCCGAGTCAGTTCCTCCCATGTGATTACGTCCTTCAAGTCTGGTACGTCGACGCCGTGGGAGGTTGCCAGGTGGCTCAACCAGGTCTGGCATCCGCCCTTTGAGTTCAGGAACAGGGCGCCGATGTACGCATGCTTGGCTACCGGCAGAATCCTGAATTGCGTTGTGAATGCTTCCCACGAGAGGACCGGATCCTGCTGCGTGTAGTCGTCGAACCTCTCCAGATTGAAAGTTGGCATCTTATACATCTTCGGATTGCCATCAGCGTTCGTCGTCTGCAGCTGCTGGACCTCGGTCTTCAATGTATGCAGCTGACTGCTGATGGTGGTGGTTGGCGCAGCGAAGGTGCTGATGTCGCCGAGCATTGCCACTACGTGGTCAACGCGGTCCTCCAGTTGGCGGCTAGAGGGTGCACTGCTGGAAGCCCCAGCAGCTGGTCCTGGTACAGCCTGTTCCAGGTCCAGCAATCGGGCATTGAGTGCCCGAGTTGCATCCTCGTGGCTCTGCACTATGCGGCGGAGCTGTGCCAACTCCTGATGCTGTTGCGTCAGGTCCTGGTACTGTCTCTCCAACTCTGACCGTTGGTAGTTGCAAGCATACAACAACCGCGTCACGAGTTTGGAGAGGAACTGCTTGTGCTTCTCTTCCGGTATTGCCTCGTCGCCGTTCGGTTCAAAATGCCAGTACTTGAGTCTGTCGATGCTGTTGGCTTCATGCCGCTGCAGCAGATCCTGGGCTTCCTTGTGGCGAGCCTGGGCATCTGCGTCTGCATCGGCCTGTAGCTGCAGTTGTTCTGCTGCTGCTGCCTCTTCAGCCTGTACGCGGGCAGCCTCGGCTGCCAACTGGCGTTGTTCCTCAGCCTCGATCTGAGGCTGGAACCGCTGCTTGTAGGCTGCAAGGGACTCGTTGGGCAGTTGCCCTGGCAGGCCCGTCATGTTGCTGATGTGGCACTGCTGACGTGGCACTGTGTGTGACGTGGCACTGCTGATGTGGCACTGCTTACGTGGTACTGTCTGACGTGGCACTGCTGCTGTGGCACTGCTTACGTGGCACTGCTGATGTGGCACTGCTGATGTGGCACTGCTGATGTGGCACTGCTTACGTGGCACTGTGTCTGACGTCACTGCTGACGTGGCACTCTGTGACCTGGCACTGCTGGCGTGGCACTGCTGATCTGGCACTGTGACGTGGCACTGCTGACGTGGCACTGCTGACATGGCACTGCTAACGTGGCACTGCTGACGTGGCACTGCTAATCTGGCACTGTGAAGTGGCACTGCTGACGTGCCACTGTACCGAACCGGGATGCATGCAAGGGGTGGGTGGGAGGGAAAACGTAGGTAGGTAACCAACCCAACAATACTTTCCTCCGGCCCTAATCAACAGATAAAATAAAAAATAAAAAATAAAAGAGGACTACTTCCTTTTTTTTTTTTTTGTATATATCTGTCGATTTATGATGAGTAGGATATGTCAGAAGAGTATTATGAACGAGATCTAGGCTAGGTGCCGCATTTACAAACTGCGATCTTGAAATTTTTTTTTGCGAAATGGAGTAAAGATGCGATTTTCAGAAAAGAACGAAATCCAGTTTCTGAGAATATAGCAACCTCCGAATATGCCTA